CCGGAAATGAAATGCTCCACAACCAAAACTCACACTTTGAGAACTTAACATGTAATTGATGTTGTCTTAAAATCTCTAGAGCAGTCCTCAAGTGTGTTGCATGCTCCTCCTCAGATTTAGAATAAATCAGAATATCGTCTATAAAGACGATCACAAACTGGTCCAAATAGTTTTTGAAAATTATGTTCATCAAATCCATGAAGACTGCTGGGGCGTTAGTCACTCTGAAGGACATGACTAAAAACTCATAATGTCCATACCTTGTACTAAATGCAGTCTTTGCCACATCATCTACCCTTACCTTCAACTGATGATAACCAGATCGCAGATCGATCTTAGAAAATACTGACCATCAAGCCAGCTGATCAAACAAATCATCAATCCTAGGCAAATGATACTTATTTTTGATAGTGATTTTGTTCAACTTCCTATAATCAATGCACATCCGCATCGTACTGTTCTTTTTCTTTACAAATAGAACAGGTGCTCCCCACGGAGACACATTAGGGCGGATGAATCCCCTGTCAACTACCTCCTGAAGCTCCTTAGGTGCCATTCTATATGAAGCTTTAGAGATCGGAGCAGTACCCGAAAAAAGATCAATACAAAACTCTATCTCCCTATCTGATGGTAAAGTCACTAATTCCTCTCGGAAGACATATGAAAACTCTTGAACTATAGGGACACTCACAGAATCGGAAGAGAGTCTCATATCTCTGACAGATGCTAAAAATACTATGCCACATTTTCTTCAAAGTCTATCCACTTCTAGAGCAGAAATCAAACAAGAGAGAACACCTTTGATTCCCTGAAATATGAAACTCTCACCATTCTGATACAAAGTCACTTTCTTTTTTAAGCAATCAATTTGAACCCCATATCGACTCATCCAGTCCATTCCCAAAATGACATCAAATGCAAAAATAGGTAGCAAAATCAAACCAGACCTCCGAACTCTATCGGAAAATTCCAAATCACAAAAACAAACCCTACTAGTTACATTTTGTCTCCCGTATGCAAAATCACAGACAAAGAAACAGGTAATAATACGGAAGAAAAACCGAGAGAATCAAAATATTGCTCATACATAAAAGAATGGCTAGCACCAGAATCAATTAAAATACGACAGGGAGATGCATAAATATAAGCCGTACCAATTACAACATCTGGGGACTCACTGGCCTCTTGCTGTGTCAGACTGTAAACTCGTGGATGCACTGGGGTCAAAGCAACGAAACTACTTGCACCTCGCGAATCTCCATAAGGCTGACCTCGGGATACCGGACCAATATCCCGGTTAGGTGGCACTGCCCTCGGCCTATTTACTGACAACTGTGTAGAGGCTCTGAAATCAGAATGTCTATCAAAATCACCTTGTGTCCACTCAACAATCCTATGTCCAAACTGACCATAGTGACAACACCTGCCTGATACTCTGTAACATTGACCACTATGTCTTCTACCACACTGCTGACATAATGGGGCCTCACTCACTAAACCCTCAGAACTAACAACACTGCCTCTATCTGATATAGAAGAAATTACTACTGGTTGTCCCCTCCTTTTAAACTCAGAAGGTCCAAACCTGCTCTTCTTCCTAGAATGGCTACTGCTAGCTGTCTCATCACCAAATCTCTTCTTGCTTGCAGCCCATCACTGATGTACTGCTACCAGATCAGTCTCTATCTTCTTGGCCCTCTCGACCAACTGAGCAAAATCTGTAATATCCTGTGCCAACAGTGGCTGCCTCAAAGCATCTTGGAGTCCTTTTTTTATTTGCATTACAGGTCAACAAGATGCAGGATGATCGGCTGCGCATTCAGTTTGAAATTATCATAATACCCTTAAGAGATAAAAAGATGATATAAACAAATGAAGCCAATTCTTACCATACAATCTTTCCATTTATAGCATTTTGATCTATATCAATTATAAGTGTGTATTTGATAATATTCTTTAGTGATATCATTTCCATTATTGAAAACACTTGTACACTTTATTTGTGTTAGTTATTCATATTTGCGAATCTTCTTTCCTATATTTGTACACTTATGTGCTTAGGTTATTGACATATAGTTTAAGTAATGAGCTTTTGTATATTTTTTGACAGGGTTTTGAATTTATAGGATTTTGAAAGAAGTCCAAAATGCTTGTGCAAATCTAATTCACTACCCTTTTCATGTGCCTTACCCTACAAATGATATTACAGCAGTGTGCCTCGACTATCATAGACTACTACCCTTCTATGTGGATAAACTTTTTTTTGATACAATTATATTTGACTTGTTTTACATTCATGCAACTTCCAAGTGAAAATCAAGACCATTCATCATAATTTATAAAACGAAAATTACTAGGACGCCAACCTTTGTGAAGTTTAAACATAAATTATTTATGCACCAAGCATGTAAATGCATCCCTAATAAATTTCTTAGATAATCAGAAATCAAATCAAATGTTTTTTTCAGTTTGTAAAATATGCTGGTATCTTTATATGTCTATATATATACACACGCGCGCGCACACACACACGCACATCTTAATTTTTGGTTAAATTTGGTTAGGCTTCTTACATGGCCCTTTTTATGATTTCGGTTCTGTTAATTGAATTTGCCAAAACTCAAGGGAGTGAACTTGTTTTAGGGTCCAATTTTTATGGTTGCAGCTATTTGTAAAGTTAGTTATAGAGTTGTTATGAGAATTTTTTTTAAGGGTTATTTGATATCATAATTTTTTTTTGAAAAACTTGGACAATAGATTTCTTACAACCACCATACTCAAGTAGACCTAATTTTGAAAAGCTTATTTTCATCACAAAATTTTTTGAAAAATCAATGACATTCCGGCCAAACAAAAAATTTGGCACCGGTATAAAAAATAAAGTTGTGAAAATGCTGTCCCAAATGCAAGCTGTGCTAAGAGCTAGTACAAGGCATTTGAGCCTCAGAGTTGGCAATATTGGGAAGAAGAATTTCAAAACAGTCTTGTACCTGCTCTCTTGAAGTAAACATGGGACTTTTCATCGTTTATTCAGTTAACAATAGGTGCATAGCAATTTAAACTTTATTTGTGATAGTTTTCTTACCGTTTTCTAAAGCAATGTTTTAGTAAAAAAAATTTTGAACTAGAAATTTTTGTACTAAAAAGTCGCTTTAGAAAACAGTAAGAATGCTGTCCCAAAAAAACCCTTAATTATACATCTGCTTTTTTGTTTCCTGGGATTTGGTTTTGACTTTTTTTGATGTGAAACAATCTCATGCTAAAGTTATCTGCTTAAGGAAGTTTGCACTTGTAAATGTTAGAGAGCAATGTTAAGCAAAATCCTCTATTGATGTAAACGATAAGATAACATTAAGGTGATAAAATAGCTTTGGTTTAAACACATGCGAGAGGTTGAGATCATTAAATAGTCAACTGAATCTTACTTTACATACATGAGTGGTTTCAACGAAAAATTCCAATACTAACAATAAGATTAGGCTATGAAAGATCCCTCACATAACTCTTCTAATTACTAGGCTTTAGCGGAGGCGATAAAACATGCGCTTTGTGAATCAAATTATAACCACGAGTAGAGTAAACTCAGAAGATAGAGAGTGAGTGAAGAGTTTACCCAAAATAAGGAGTTATGAAGCCATGACGATGGCTGGGATGAAGGGGCAGCAGCCTTCAAACTTCTGGAACCACTCAGCAACAATGGGAGTCTATTCTGGAGGCTGGACGACACTAGATCTCCTCAGGACAGCAGCTAGGACTGGTTCTGGACGGCTAGACAGCATCCTAGTTTGCTGCGGTCAACAGGACAGCAACCTATTGAGCTCAGGGAAACTTCTAGACAGGAAGAAGGGCTGTCCCTGAGATCTGGACAGCAATTGTCGCTCCCGGGATGGCTGGACGTCGATGGGCTGTTGCAGGATTTTCCAAACAACAAGTTGAGATGTTGGGCAGCAGTTTTCCTGGAGCTTTGGAAGGGATTTGGGAAGAAAAAATCAGCCAACAGCTGCGGGGAATTTCGGCCAGCAAGGAGAGGAAGTGTTTGAATTAATTCTTTACTTAGGAGTGGTGGATTTGGAAGGAATTAAAGGGGTGGAGAAGATTAATCAAAAGCTGACATTTAATTTCAGTTTTGATTAAATTGGGAGGGAAAAGAATTGAATTTTGAATTTCAAGTCATAGGCATTAATGCCTTGAATGGGGGAATTAATGGAGGGGAGCCAAGAGGGGAGGAGGCCG